CCTGGTGTTGTTTTGTCGTTTTATTCTATTGTTAGAGTATTTATCGCCCTTGCCTTTCAATTATTGACAAATAATGATTTAGCGTACCCAAGACCACGCCCCCTTGTGAGATAATTGGGTCGACGTTTATTTAACATTGAAACCTTAATTTCGATTCTCCGATTTCGGCGACAACACAGCAGCTACTCAATCATCAGTGAGCGTGTGTATGTTAGGACTCAGCTTTCCGATTGATATTTGAGTATTAATTGTGTATGTATCCGAGTGTCTACATTATAACAAGGACTTAATCCTTTGTATGAGCAAAATACCTGACAAACTGTAATCAACCGTCGAAGGAGCGACATATAGTGCTGTCTACTTTTTAATACGGATTTTAGATATCAAATCTTCATTCCAAGTGGGAAGGAAATCGGTAAGACATTTCAATTAAATTTTATTTAAAATTTAAGCTTCTTTTTCAGTTTCATGCAAGTAACTGACCTATCCTCTCCTCCTCCTCCCCCTCCTCCTCTCCATACCTCAGTATCAACTTTTTCAGTATAGATGTTTTGATGATGACACAGAATTTTTCCTCGTCTCACCATCTTTGATTATTGACTATCCTAATGTATTTTAGAAAGAAATTCAAAAGTACCTGATCTTGTAGACAAAACTAATTAGAGTTTACTGCCAGGTATTTGTTAAGATATGCAAATATATTTGTAAATATATTGTTGTCTTTTGTAATTGATATACCATGCAGAGTGAAAAAACAGGAATCTGTATGTAAATACATCATCACACTGTTTTTTAAAAAAGATATTTGAAACACGCTATTTTCCCCGGTATCAGAAAGGCGCGTAATGGAATTGCGTCTGAATGTATACCTACTGAAAACCAGATTTCTATTTTAAATTTGAAAAAAAAAGGAAAAAAGTTTGTAAGTTCTGATTAATAATAACTATTCAAGGTCTTTTTTAAGTGATGAATTCGATGTTTTTGCAAAATACCTGTCGACTTCACATCATTTCATTGTTTAAGTACATTCCGTATCATGTGTCATATAGTATTAATCAAATCGATAGAATATTTTATATAAAGTTGTGAGTCACTTAGAAAACTGTATATCAAATTTGGTTCTTGAAACAAAATATGTTGAGAAAATTCCCTCTATTGGTTCTGTCATACGGAGGTGAATCAGCTTTAAAACCTCAATAACAGGTGTGTGTTCTACACAAAAAAAATCTAATTCTAAAATTAAACTGTGAAAGACACGTGGGATATTGTATGTAGAATGCATGACCCCTCAAAACAGCCACGGAAAAACTTACTCATACAGAAAAAAAAGTGTGTGTTCGTATACATTTCTTGTTGAACAAAACCCTTTAAGAATCTGTCTCCATGGTTTGTACAGATTTGCAATAGTAAATGAGGGATGCCATATTTGTTGATCATTAACCCAAGTTTCATATTATCCCCCCGGAGTTTAAAAATTTAACTTTAATGAGATTCTTTCACGAAAGTTAAAGACCAACAACAAACAAACCCGAATCTGACACGAGACACAAATGTTCGCATGACCTACTCCATTTATCTGGTGACAAGACATTGTAACAAAATGACGATTAAAATTCCTGATCATGTTTAAGTCCTGTTACAAACGACATGAACTTTTCTTGTTAATTGGAAATGATGTCAAATGGTTTTATCTCGCTTCAATAAACTCATAGTTTAAGAACACAGCCGGTTTTTTTCCTGACCATCCATTATTGGATTTTTTTTGTTGGACTGTGTGCGATTTGTTTTAAAGGCAAATTATATGTTATTTTCATAGCTTATCATCATTATTTTCTCATTCCTGGTCTTGGGTACACGACATCAGGGATGATATAAAATGAATAGATGAATTACAAATGATAAAACCTGATATCTGAACCTACATTTAATTTACATATACATATAAAACAATGTCATTTGTAATACATCTCTTTTTGATGTCCGGTCTTGAAACATAGCTTCACTGTAAACACGTGGTTTTTGGTTTATTTAACTCACAGTCACAGTACAATGTTTAAATCTCGCTTTATTTATTAGACTTGTTAAACGTTGCATGTGATTCAAGTTCGAATTAACATAATGCTGTTTCTGACATATGTTTCAATTAAGGGTACATGTTACCTCTGATTTATGTTTAAGTTAAGGGTACATGCTACCTCTGATATATGTTTGAGTTAAGGATGTATGCTACCTCTGATTTATGTTTAAGTTAAGGGTACATGTTACCTCTGATTTATGTTTAAGTTAAGGGTACATGCTACCTCTGATTTATGTTTAAGTTAAGGGTACATGCTACCTCTGATTTATGTTTAAGTTTATGTTGATATATGTTTGAAAGGGTATGCTACCTCTGATTTATGTTTAAGTTAAGGGTACATGCTACCTCTGATTTATGTTTAAGTTAAAGGTACATGCTACCTCTGATATATGTTTGAGTTAAGGATGTATACTACCTCTGATTTATGTTTAAGTAAAGGGTACATGCTGTCTCTGATTTATGTTTAAGTAAAGGGTACATGCTGTCTCTGATTTATGTTTGAGTAAAGGGTACATGCTGCCTCTGATTTATGTTTGAGGTAAGGGTACATGCTACCTCTGATATATGTTTGAGTTAAGGATGTATACTACCTCTGGTTTATGTTTGAGGTAAGGGTATATGCTACCTCTGATTTATGTTTAAGTTAAGGGTATATGCTACGATATATATCATACCTCCGATTTGAGTACAGGATGTATTGTACCTTATAAATTATACCTCAGGTTCGTATAAAGGTTATATGCTACATGTGAAGTGCGTTAGAGGTTATATAATGTTGTTTTATATTAAACTGAGCACTTTCTTGAATGGAAGAAAGCGCCCTTGCTCGGTCTGAGATAAACCTCGGATCCCGTGGAGGTTGCATGTACCAGGCTATTTGTTTACAGTGTAGAACGAAAGCATTCATTCATCATTGATGTAAATATGACCTCATGCTAAGCTTTAGTGAAAAAATAAACTTATGTCTTGGTTCCGATGCGTGACAAAGTTACAATCTATACATTGTACTCAAATACGTGTCAAAGTAATTAAAGTAGAGTTATAAAACTGAATCCAACTTAATTATGATCGTATATATAGACCCACGCGATGGTAAAAATTAATAAATCCACCGGGAAAACACGTGTGAAGTAACTGCACCATATAAAGTCGAACATTTGTACATGGTACACTGATCTGAATCAAATAATCACATCGCTCAGCAATCTCTACAGTGCTGTCGTTCATTTTACTCACTCAAATGTCGATGAGTGCCAAGAGTTGTCGTTCCTTATTTAAGAACGACAAATCATGGTAAAGATTAATAGTTCAGTTTGATTTGGCTTCAGTTTAATTAACTTCTATGTCCAATAAGTCAAATTTATCAATTTCTTAAATAAATAAATTAGTATAATTTTTAATTTAAGCTGAAATTGGTTTATTTTCGTGTTAAGCATACGTCCATACATTATAAACCATTGAATACATGTATCCATGCCGAGTCTGAGAAGGGTTCAGTAGGTATTATATTAAATACAGGGTATAATTTCATAGGATTATATACATCTAGTGTAACAATCCACATATGGCATTAGAATATATATAATTTTTACAATCCACTAAATTAACAATTATTGTTTTCAAATCATCGAAAACAATTAACAAAATTAATGACAACTTCACCACACTGAATTTTGTTGATTTAAAAAAAAATTCACGCGAGCTATTTCTAAACTATTCACAGGAACATTTCTTGGTGTGAAATATTACTTATTGAATTTAAGTATTGGTAAGCATAGACTGATCATACTGTGTAATATGTACTTTCAATTTACAAAATGTATCTACTTCCCAGCATTTTGATTAACCAGAGTTACTTCCCTTCGTTTCACCCTGGCTGTCTGTCAGTACGAGGACCCGAGAACGGCTGTCTATATGTACGTAAACACGTACGTCCTCGGTCTTAAAGTAAAAAATAATAATGTGTCGTCCTTAGGATTTTTCATTTGATCATAAACTCCACGAAACATTAAAAAAATCTGTTTGATATCTATCAACTGAAATCAAATCACTGATGTCTATTGATAATTTCATCATAAAATGTACCCTACATTCTTTATAGGAAAGGTTACGGGTATTCGGGTATTATATATAAAACAAGCCATTCTGTTTCATTTACAGTCAGTTCTTTATCTTCAAAGGTTGTTCGAAATTAATTATTTTTTATTGAAATATTAAATCCAACACTTTATAGCCAACATTTATCTACAAATTATAATTAACCATTAAAACGAAAGGTCATATTATTGTACGATAGCCAATGAAGAAACATAAACATTCTGTTTGGTGTACAACTTTTCAATGAATCGAGAAGGGATATAAGATTATTGATATAGAGTTAATAAACATTTAATGGCGAAGCGGTTTCCTACCTGAATAGTCTTTTGACTTTAAAGTTCCAACTGACGCCTATTTTTATAGATTAATACTTCATTGGATTTTTAAATTCTCGACCCCGAGAAATAAAGTAAATAAATACTGGCAGTATAAAGAGCAAAAAGTGACCCAGACGTATGTAAGTATAAATAAGTCGGGTATCATGATTGGGTGGACAAACAAAGTAACAAACAAATAACGTAACAAACAAACAACGTAACAAACAAACAAAGTAACACTTACCATGTATTATAATATTTAGCTTCAGCTAAAAATGTCGAACCTGTACCTATAAAGTATGGTAAATGCAACACTTCAGCAAGTGGTCACGGATCTTTACAGCGGATCTTACATGGATGGTCATGTAATGCTGAATCTATAAGTTCAATAACTTGATAACCAAAGTCACAATAGTGTTATAACACATAACACATATATCTGATGTCTATCACTTTGTCGTATGGTAAAACTGACCAGTCATGTGATAAGCTCCTGTCTTATTTTTCAGATTTGACCTCACATCGACGACAATTTTAGACGATCAAAGTTTGGCAACTTACCCTACAACATCCTAAAGTTAATTCCAAGATGTCACTCAAGTCCTGCTCTGTTCTCCTGGTGATAGCGATTCAGCTGTGTTCCGCGAATCTCGTCATCACAGCAGACGAACAGAAAACAAGCGGTAAGATGATGATGATGATGATGATGATGATAATAGGGCTTAGATGATGATGATGATGATGATGATGATGATGATGATGATAATGATGATGATGATAATGATGATGATGATGATGATAATAGGGCTATGATGATGATGATGATGATGATGATGATGATGATGATAATAGGGCTATGATGATGATGATGATGATGATGATGATGATAATAGGGCTTAGATGATGATGATGATGATGATGATGATGATAATAGGGCTTAGATGATGATGATGATGATGATGTTGATGATAATAGGGCTTAGATGATGATGATGATGATGATGATGATGATGATGATGATGATGATGATGATGATAATAGGGCTTAGATGATGATGATGATGATGATGATGATGATGATGATGATGATGATGATGATGATAATAGGGCTTAGATGATGATGATGATGATGTGATGATGATGATGATGATGATGGCTTAGATGATGATGATGATGATGATGATGATGATGATGATGATGATGATGATGATGATGATGATGATGATGATGATAATAGATGATTATGATTGATGATGATGATGATGATGATGATGTTGATGATAATAGGGCTTAGATGATGATGATGATGATGATGATGATGATGATGATGATGATGATGATGATGATGATGATGATGATGAAGTCAGTGCTATAAAGATGTCTTTTTATTAGAGATATATGACTCGCTCCACCAAAACCGCATGCGCAATCGAAACATCGCAAAAATATAAATAGTTACAAGAAAAATTCACATTTACTAAAATATTGGGGTTTACTTTCGTTTTTTTATTACCAGAATCCAGGGCCCCTTGCCAGGAGTCTACTCACGCGGTATAAGTTATGGAACTCAAAGTTATTTTAAACTAACCACGTGACGAAATAACTTAAAGATTCAAGTACACGCTTTATTTATTTACTCACACAATTATAATCATTTTCTTACAGATATCACGTGCTGGACTTGTCCTATCAAGAAGAACAACGACGCGTGCAACGATTGGGCCCCGGATGTGAGATGTCCTATAAGTAAGTATTAACGACGTAGATATCAATATCTGAGTGTACAGAATATTTCTTTAATCAGTTAAAGGTGACATACCTCGCGTCCATATGCACTTGTGCTTCATACTGCTGCACGTCTGTTAAATTATTTGAATTCTATCTTTTATGTAAATTCGATTATTTTTCAGACAACACCGTTTGTAAGACGACCCACGTACTGGACAAGACCACAGGACAAAGTGTGTCCGTAGTCAAGCAGTGTGCCCCTCCCTCCGAATGTGACCCGGAAACAGTCGGCTGTAACACTGTCCCAGATACTGACCTCATTGTAAGTAGACCATTTTCCTCCTTAAGCAATTCCTACCTGTGGCGGTTTGAATTTCTTTGGAAGTTAAGACACGTTGTGTCCTTGTGGAAGTCTCTTTACCCTTATTGCTCTGAATGTCATGTGGTGGGCCTTCCGTATAATGTTCAGTGAGGTGGTCATCAACTACTGCCTCGCCTGAAAATGCCCCGAGCTGTGGATGCAGAGATAATTTGTTTACAAACAAACAAAACACTGAAAGACAAACTGTCCTTGATATCGCTTTCATCGTATGAAAATATCGAGTGAAAATTACTAAATTTACATTGTATGTGACATTTACCAAGGAGATATCATTACATCTTTCTACTGTTATGATAAGTCCCCGATTAAGTTAATTTTGTTCATATGGAGTAAAGAAAAATGTTCACATCAGATAACCAATTACACGTGATTTCACGTGTAATCGTCGTGTTATAATACCTTCTGTACCTTGGTTTGTTTCACGTGATCTTTCCTATGTTGCTTCGTATTGTGACCTACGTTATCCCGATTTTTAATGGTGGAACTATCTGTACCTTGTATGTACATGCACTGCATGGTATTTTCTTGTTATTGTGTAACCTACTTTATTGTTTATATTACACAATATGACCGACTTTGTCAATTATATGTATTTCAATGCCTCCCCTTGGATTCGAACCCGGGACCCCGGACTTACTAGTCTAATGTCGAAGCAATATATCGAGGTAAAGATGTGTCCTACTTTACCGTAAATATTTTCATTGTGTGACCTACTTGTACAATATGACATACTTTAACATGTATCGGCCATGATATGACCTACTTTCTATATTACAGGAGTGCGTCTCGTGCTGTGACCAACCCTACTGTAATGTTGCCGTTCCTGTCAACACAACCACTGCCATCAAGTTGTCATCCTATTTTAACGGCGCGACCAGCCTACATTTCGGCCTGCACGTGCTGACCTCCATCATCGTCATTGGTTACCTCTTCACAAGTGTTCTGAACGGCCAGGGTTGATCATGGTCGGATTCGTATGCATGACATATTAAAGTATGTAGAAGCGCTGGGCCATTTCTAAATGACTATGAAATAGGCGTCTCCGAAAGAGATTGCTGTCCAAAAGGAACAATTCTAAGGAGTCCGCGTAGTTGATATACCAACTCAAGTTGCAGTTCCCATGGGAACACAGTCACACGTGAATTCGATTGTAAAGCATCGCGTTCGCACTTGCAGAAGTTCCTTCCGTTTGTGAACTTCACTTCAGTGGTAAATTACTCACTATTCAGACAGGAAAGACGGCAGTGTCACAAAAAGTGGACCAGTCTTATGTGTAGATCATACGTTTCAATAGTTTGTCACTGGAACTGAAAGTAAGTTTCTTCAAACTATGCTCAGCTCTTCCACAGAGTTTCTGTGCAATGCGACATTTGAGGGACAGAATGACTAGGTGTTTAGTGTTAATTCCTCAGAATAGACAATGGAATAAATCCGGATATTGCCAAAGATTTCCGAACGCTGTCAATTTGAGATGTTGATGGTGCTGATCAGTGAGCAACTTGTCAAATCGTTCAGAATGGTGTTCGAGTGTGTACCCCAAGTTACAATAGATGATTTGATTCGTTACCTTGGCTGCTGACATCTAATGTGTTCGGTTTACAGTATCTGGTCATAATTCTCTAAGACTTGATGATTACACGCCAAAACATTTTTTCAAATCGTCGATCTTGCTTTCTAGTTTAAACACCAACAGGACTCGGAATCCTGTTACAGATTCTGGTCACAATTTATTTTCTCCAAACCTTGGGAAAATAATATAAAATGAGTTATAATGAGAGTCTCGAGACAGTTTCTGATTCAGCTTTGTGAAGACATTAACGATGTGTATTGGTACGATAATGGATTCCCGTAGTAACACTCGCCTTAAATCCGTTTTGGACAACTGCTACCAGACGATAATAGTGCCAAGTGTCATGTACTGTATAATGGTGGTAATACCTGGTATCGATACACGTCATAATCATTCATTGATTTGATTGATTTTGTTGTAAATAACATATTTTATGTACATATTTGTATATACACGATAATTTATAATTAACTCCTGCTGCTAACATTAATCAAAATCATTTACCAGTGAATTATAATACTCGTTAATCATGACGTCACATTTTTAAATACTCAGTTCTCTCTAACGAGGAAGTACGTTCACAGAATTTATCGAGGTTGTCTTTATTACTGAGACAAACACGTGCAATAAATATTTAAAATAAAAACCATGTTGTCGTTTCTACAGCGTTAATGATGATAATCGATATGAGACAATATTGTTATTTTAAGAAGTAACAGGGCATTGGGGAAAAGAACATCAAAACGATGACAGGACAAGTAGACATGAGATGTACATAACGTCACTTGCGTAACATTTAAAGTCTCTGGGCCAGGGAGAATTCATTTCAAGTCATGGGATCGGGGAGAATTCATTTCAAGTCATGGGATCGGGGACAATTCATTTCAAGTCACGAGGCCGGGAACAATTAAATTCAAGTCACGGGGCCAGGGGCAATTCATTTCAAGTCACGAGGCCGGGGGCATAAATTTCATGTCACGAGGTCGTGGATAAATCATCTGAAGTCACGGGATCGGGGATCATTCATTTCAGGTCACGAGGCCGGGGGCATTCATTTCAAGTCACGAGGCCGGGGGCATTCATTTCAAGTCACGAGGGAGGCCGAGAACAATTAAATTCAAGCCACGGGGCCGTGAACAATTCATCTCAAGTCACGGGACCGGGGAATATTAATTTCATGTCACAGAGCGGGGACATTCTTTTCATGTTACGGGTCCGGGAACAATTCAAGCCACAGTTTCCGAGCTGGGAATATATTAGATTCGACATATAAGAACAATCCTCGTCATCATCATATATGATTTACCTCTTTGATGCATTGCAGCCATCTATTTAAGAGTTGTAACAGTATGACAAACATTGGCCGTGGTGAAATGTACAACAAATAAACGACGAAACACTCATTACCAGCGATGAAGCAACAACCTTTCTATGTAACAAAATACACGCCTTTTCATCAGAATTTTATAAGTACCGTTGTCATCCTATAAGCTATTGGTCAGGTTTGAACCAGTCAATGGCTAAGAAACAGCCTTCATTTTGTCATAGTTCAAGATGGCCGACAAAGATATGATCAGGGGAATCTTATTGAAAAGCAAAGATGAAAATATTATGATACTATTCATCCAGGTACAATGTTCAAGCGTATAAGCGGATGCTTGTTAAACGTAAGCTGTCACCCATGTCAGATAGATATACTTAAATATCTGTTCTTAGATCAAATAAACTTGATTTCAATCAAAATGTTATCTCACAAAGTTTTTGATACTGTTAAATAAATTATTTATACACAACCAGTTTTTTGTTTTTTATTCACGCCAAATGAAGTCAATCGTGATACCATAACCAACAATAGTCAGGTAATAATGGCGGCTGTGGACGGCCACGTGATTCCGAATGAAACTTCGAAACAATTAAAAAAAGTTAAAACTGTAATGCTTACAATGCATTTACAGAACATCGGATAAACTTGTCAACCTGAAACATAGAACGACAGAAAATTTGTATGAACTACAGATAACTTAATGTGTATTTATCTAGATCTGTATGGACTTACTGTGTATTTATCTAGATCTGTATGGACAACAGATAACTTACTGTGTATTTATCTAGATCTGTATGAACTACAGAGAACTTAATATGTATTTATCTAGATCAGTATGGACTAGAGAATTTAATATGTATTTATCTAGATCTGTATGGACAACAGATAACTTAATATGTATTTATCTAGATCTGTATGAACTACAGAGAACTTAATGTGTATTTATCTAGATCTGTATGGACTATAGAGAACTTACTGTGTATTTATCTAGATCTGTATGGACAACAGAGAACTTAATATGTATTTATCTAGATCTGTATGGACTACAGAGAACTTACTGTGTATTTATCTAGATCTGTATGGACTACAGATAACTTAATATGTATTTATCTAGATCTGTATGGACAACAGATAACTTAATATGTATTTATCTAGATCTGTATGGACAACAGAGAACTTACTGTGTATTTATCTAGATCTGTATGGACAACAGAGAACTTACTGTGTATTTATCTAGATCTGTATGGACTAGAGAATTTAATATGTATTTATCTAGATCTGTATGGACAACAGAGAACTTAATATGTATTTATCTAGATCTGTATGGACAACAGATAACTTAATATGTATTTATCTAGATCAGTATGGACTAGAGAATTTAATATGTATTTATCTAGATCTGTATGGACAACAGAGAACTTAATATGTATTTATCTAGATCTGTATGGACAACAGATAACTTAATATGTATTTATCTAGATCTGTATGGACAACAGAGAACTTACTGTGTATTTATCTAGATCTGTATGGACTAGAGAATTTAATATGTATTTATCTAGATCTGTATGGACAACAGAGAACTTAATATGTATTTATCTAGATCTGTATGGACTACAGAGAACTTACTGTGTATTTATCTAGATCTGTATGGACAACAGAGAACTTACTGTGTATTTATCTAGATCTGTATGGACTATAGAGAACTTACTGTGTATTTATCTAGATCTGTATGGACAACAGAGAACTTACTGTGTATTTATCTAGATCTGTATGGACAACAGAGAACTTACTGTGTATTTATCTAGATCTGTATGGACTATAGAGAACTTAATGTGTATTTATCTAGATCTGTATGGACAACAGAGAACTTACTGTGTATTTATCTAGATCTGTATGGACAACAGAGAACTTACTGTGTATTTATCTAGATCTGTATGGACTATAGAGAACTTAATGTGTATTTATCTAGATCTGTATGGACTATAGAGAACTTACTGTGTATTTATCTAGATCTGTATGGACAACAGAGAACTTACTGTGTATTTATCTAGATCTGTATGGACTACAGAGAACTTACTGTGTATTTATCTAGATCTGCATGGACTAGAGAATTTAATGTGTATTTATCTAGATCTGTATGGACTACAGAGAACTTAATATGTATTTATCTAGATCTGTATGGACTAGAGAATTTAATATGTATTTATCTAGATCTGTATGGACTACAGATAACTTAATATGTATTTATCTAGATCTGCATGGACTAGAGAATTTAATGTGTATTTATCTAGATCTGTATGGACTACAGATAACTTACTGTGTATTTATCTAGATCTGCATGGACAACAGATAACTTACTGTGTATTTATCTAGATCAGCATGGACTAGAGAATTTAATGTGTATTTATCTAGATCTGCATGGACTAGAGAATTTAATGTGTATTTATCTAGATCTGTATGGACTACAGACAACTTACTGTGTATTTATCTAGATCAGTATGGACAACAGATAACTTACTGTGTATTTATCTAGATCTGCATGGACAACAGAGAACTTACTGTGTATTTATCTAGATCTGTATGGACTACAGATAACTTAATGTGTATTTATCTAGATCTGTATGGACTACAGAGAACTTACCGTGTATTTATCTAGATCTGTATGGACTACAGATAACTTACTGTGTATTTATCTAGATCTGTATGGACAACAGAGAACTTACTGTGTATTTATCTAGATCTGCATGGACAACAGATAACTTACTGTGTATTTATCTAGATCTGCATGGACAACAGATGACTTACTGTGTATTTATCTAGATCTGTATGGACAACAGAGAACTTACTGTGTATTTATCTAGATCTGTATGGACTACAGATAACTTAATGTGTATTTATCTAGATCTGTATGGACTACAGAGAACTTACTGTGTATTTATCTAGATCTGTATGGACAACAGAGAACTTAATGTGTATTTATCTAGATCTGCATGGACTAGAGAATTTAATGTGTATTTATCTAGATCTGCATGGACTAGAGAATTTAATGTGAATTTATCTAGATCTGTATGGACTACAGAGAACTTAATATGTATTTATCTAGATCTGCATGGACTAGAGAATTTAATATGTATTTATCTAGATCTGTATGGACTACAGAGAACTTACTGTGTATTTATCTAGATCTGCATGGACAACAGAGAATTTAATGTGTATTTATCTAGATCTGCATGGACTAGAGAATTTAATGTGTATTTATCTAGATCTGCATGGACTAGAGAATTTAATGTGTATTTATCTAGATCTGCATGGACTAGAGAATTTAATGTGTATTTATCTAGATCTGTATGGACTACAGAGAACTTACTGTGTATTTATCTAGATCTGTATGGACAACAGAGAACTTAATGTGTATTTATCTAGATCTGTATGGACAACAGATAACTTACTGTGTATTTATCTAGATCTGTATGGACAACAGATAACTTACTGTGTATTTATCTAGATCAGCATGGACAACAGAGAACTTACTGTGTATTTATCTAGATCTGTATGGACTACAGATAACTTAATGTGTATTTATCTAGATCTGCATGGACAACAGATAACTTACTGTGTTTTTATCTAGATCTGCATGGACAACAGATAACTTACTGTGTATTTATCTAGATCAGCATGGACTAGAGAATTTAATGTGTATTTATCTAGATCTGCATGGACAACAGAGAACTTAATGTGTATTTATCTAGATCTGTATGGACTATATAGAACTTACTGTGTATTTATCTAGATCTGTATGGACAACAGAGAACTTACTGTGTATTTATCTAGATCTGTATGGACTAGAGAATTTAATGTGTATTTATCTAGATCTGTATGGACAACAGAGAACTTACTGTGTATTTATCTAGATCTGTATGGACAACAGAGAACTTACTGTGTATTTATCTAGATCTGTATGGACTATACTTACTGTGTATTTATCTAGATCTGTATGGACAACAGAGAACTTACTGTGTATTTATCTAGATCTGTATGGACAACAGAGAACTTACTGTGTATTTATCTAGATCTGTATGGACTACAGAGAACTTACTGTGTATTTATCTAGATCTGTATGGACTACAGAGAACTTAATATGTATTTATCTAGATCTGTATGGACTACAGAGAACTTACTGTGTATTTATCTAGATCAGCATGGACTAGAGAATTTAATGTGTATTTATCTAGATCTGCATGGACAACAGAGAACTTAATGTGTATTTATCTAGATCTGTATGGACTACAGAAAACTTACTGTGTATTTATCTAGATCTGTATGGACTACAGATAACTTAATATGTATTTATCTAGATCTGTATGGACTAGAGAATTTAATGTGAATTTATCTAGATCAGCATGGACTAGAGAATTTAATGTGAATTTATCTAGATCAGCATGGACTAGAGAATTTAATGTGTATTTATCTAGATCTGCATGGACTAGAGAATTTAATGTGTATTTATCTAGATCTGTATGGACTACAGAGAACTTACTGTGTATTTATCTAGATCTGTATGGACTACAGATAACTTAATGTGTATTTATCTAGATCTGTATGGACTACAGAGAACTTAATATGTATTTATCTAGATCTGCATGGACTAGAGAATTTAATGTGTATTTATCTAGATCTGCATGGACTAGAGAATTTAATGTGTATTTATCTAGATCTGTATGGACTAGAGAATTTAATGTGTATTTATCTAGATCTGTATGGACTACAGAGAACTTACTGTGTATTTATCTAGATCTGTATGGACAACAGATAACTTACTGTGTATTTATCTAGATCAGCATGGACAACAGAGAACTTACTGTGTATTTATCTAGATCTGCATGGACAACAGATAACTTACTGTGTATTTATCTAGATCAGCATGGACTAGAGAATTTAATGTGTATTTATCTAGATCTGCATGGACTAGAGAATTTAATGTGTATTTATCTAGATCTGTATGGACTACAGAGAACTTACTGTGTATTTATCTAGATCTGCATGGACTAGAGAATTTAATGTGTATTTATCTAGATCTGCATGGACTAGAGAATTTAATGTGTATTTATCTAGATCTGCATGGACTAGAGAATTTAATGTGTATTTATCTAGATCTGTATGGACAACAGAGAACTTAATATGTATTTATCTAGATCTGTATGGACAACAGAGAACTTAATACAATACCAGGAAAGGCGAACGCACCTCCTCCATAGATTCTGAATGATTGTATCTCCAGAATGAATAGGTTGGTTCTAAAGGCTTGTTTTAATTTTGTTTAAAGAGAAAACTGGATATATGTGATCAGTATTATGTATTTTGGGTTTTTGGCATAATGCTTAAACTGGAAGGGGTATTTTATACATAAACGACGAAACACTAAACTAGTTCTGTTAAAATTTATTCG